GGGGGGGGAAGTTCTAAAACTGGAGCAGCTGTGCATAGTAACCAATCAGCTTCTGTCCTCAGTTCAGTTCAGCTTTAACATTTAAAGCGGGAAGTTGATTGGTTGCCTTGCACAGCTGTTCCAGATTTCGTCTGGTCTGCCCCAGTCTGAAGGTGCCCATACACCTTACAATTATCTGCAGATTTTCTGTGGTCAGATGGAAAAAGTGCAACAAATTGGCCCAGGTGGAGATTACTCCATCCACACAGTTAAGTGTAGATGGAGGAATCTGTTGCACCTTTTCCATCTGACCACAGAAAATCTGCAGATAAATTGTAAGGTGTATGGCCAGCTTTAGTGTCTTAAAATGATATCTATAATTTTGTCTTAGCTTCCTAAAGTAAAGTTTAGAAGTCCTCCTGACCTTCACTCAAGTCGGTTGTTGAATTTGCCAGCATCTGAGCTAATCCTTGTAGCACCATGCTTAAGTCAGTGTTATTTGAGCAAACACTGCCACATATTGCTGTAGAATTGTATGTGTGACCTTTTCTGATATTTGATGTCTCCTATAGCTTGCAGCGGGAAGAAGAGGAGGCCTATGCCAGCAGCCAGGGTGCCCAGGGAGGTCAGCCGTCACTTGGCTTTGCCAAGTTTGAAGAAAAGAAATCTAATGAAAAGACAAGAAAGGTTACCACAGTAAAGAAATTCTTCACTGCCTCATCCAAAAGTGTGCAGAAGAAAGGTAACCTTTTACATTCCATGCATCTACTATTCATCAAACGTCTTTTCCTCTATTCTGCTGTTAGATGAAGAGTAAAGCACACCTGTAACTTAGTAGTAAACATAATGATGTGAAGAAGGGGGAGAGAGGAAGACATTGTACAGGACTTAAACCGAGACAAGCCATCCTTCCTCCTCTCACATGACCACTTCTGGTCTGAGACCAAGTTCCTTGTACTTAGTGCGGGTCCTCCACTAACTCATCGATATCAAAATCTCTCAATTCTAATGGTAATCAGCAGCTTTCTTGTAGCCTCTGATATTGTATGACTTGCAAGCGGTAACCAGTGGTGGGTAAGTAATGTATGTTACTATATGGATAGAAAGCTCTGTGCAAGCCTTCTAGTACACGGCATTGCTTAGTTGTCAGGCCTGGATAAATCTTGTCAAATCCTCTGCTTAGTATGTGAAGTATTCAGTTCTCATCCACCTTCCATAACAGCAGTATACACAGTTCTCTTAGGCCCCATCTACACGGGTGTTTCTGAGATTCCTCCAGCTAAGGGCCCACAGATCCCTGAGGCAGGAATCCCAGGTGTCCTGTTCATGTGCGGTTGCTGTACACATGGAAGTAAATGACAGGGTGGCAGCCACAGCATCTGTCAGCGGCAGTACGTATGTAATCATAGATGGTACAATTACATGCGGTTTAGGATAGATGACTGTCACTGGCTGCAGGATAGATGCGTCCAGCAACAATCATCTATGCCTGGCATTCTGCCACAGGAACCTGTAGGTTCTTGCCGCAGGAATGCCAGATCGCCCTGTGTGAACAGAGCCTAATCCCCTTCCCTCAGTAAGCATATACATATCCCATCACTCAGTAGATATATACCAAATTTCCTTGCGATATCAACTATATTTACAGTTCTTCCCCTGACCAACCCCCCTACCCTCCATAATACTTGAGTCATTGTTGGTGTGGTGTTCAATGGTTACCACTCTGCCTTAGAGTGTATGGCCACAATGGTTATCATTAAAAGAGAACTATGGGGTAAGTGTTTTTCCCTATAGCTCTCTTTAGGGTCACGGGAGGTCATATACTAACCTCCTCCCGTGACCCAAAGCTCAGTAGTGCCGCAGCCGGGCCAAATCCCGACAATACTGTCTGGATCCACCCAGCTGTGTGAATGACAGCTCCCTGCAGGGAGACGATCAGGAAGTGAGCGGATCGGTACATGCTTCTGCTCACTTCCCGATTGCTAGAGCCGACCTGTGACAGCTTCTTTGTCACACGTCGGCGCTAACTATGAGGATGAGTGGAAATCACTCACCTCATAGCTCTCCTTTGAAATACTTCTTTATTCAGACCTTCTCTTCAGACACACCACACTGTGCACATTGCAGGGAAGAGCTTCCCCTGCACTCTGCATCAGGTTTCTCTTCCTGACAGTGCAGCAGGTCACTCAACTGACAAGTAGGTCTGAATGGAACTTATAAGCAGGTTACCACTGGGGTTTTTTTTATTGGTCATGTCAACTGGGATTTGTAAAGTAATGCAGCGTGTGTGTGGCTGTGTGCATGAGAGCCACTAACTTGTACATGACTAGTTAGCTAAGGAATTAGTTGGTGCTCTCCAACAGCTAGAAGAAATGCTGGCATCTGGGTACTGCAGACTATATGACCTCTGTTGTGGAAATAACACATTTGTAAGGTTTTTTTTTTTTTTTTTAATTTATTTTAAAGCATCATTCTGAGGCCAAGTCTATATTTTAGTCTTAGGTCTGCCTTAGAACATTGTGTATGCCTTCATTCATGTTGAATTTTAGCTTGGTAGCACCAGAAGGTTAGGATGTGAGCGGAATAGCTGCTTGAGTTTTATTTTGGAGAGAAAGGCTGTCTTACACCTATATTGCCACAACTAACTCTCCTGTAGGCGCCATAGCAGCGTGTGTGTCTGTGTATATATTTCTTTTTCTCTCGCTCTCTCTCTCTATGTATGTATGTATGTATGTATGTATGTATGTGGGATGGGACTTAATGTACAGAAACTGTGATTTTAGCCTTCCCAAATACCATAAAATCTCTCCTACATCTTCATTGCAGAAAATGACAGGTGCACTTTAATCTAAAATTCAGCACATCCAGTTCCCTTTTTTTTTTCTTCAACCGGTACATTACTTTGCATATGCTGCCAGCAAAACACTTGCCAGTAAGGAAGTTGTTTGTATTGCGCTCTTCATTCCATAGCTATATTTGGTCTTCATAGTCTCTATTCTGCATTCCAGTGTGGATCAGAGTTCGTAAATCAGCGCTGGTGTATGAGAGCCTAAAAATATAAAATGTAGAGAATGACTAAAAGGCTACGCATACTTTGCTGAAACTTGGCAGAAATGGAGAGGGTGGCTTTAGGAGGCGGCTTCAAGTGCTTCTCTAAATAGACCGAGGTTTGATATTCTGTATTTTCCAGCAGTACCGTGCAAGAAAAACCTTCCCAGCTCATTGATTTGTTCAAGTGCAGACAGAGTATTTTATGTAATGCAGCGAATCTATCACTGTCTTATTTTTAAAGTGGTATGACCATGTCGGTTGCACTTTCATGCATTTGCAGTCGCAATTTTTTATGTTGCACGGTATTTGCGCAAATGTTTATCAAACAAGTATTTTTAGCATAAAATACAGTAGAATGAAATTTAGTGCACAGAAACAGAATATGATGGCCATTTTTTTGGTAAAATATAAAAGACGCCTAGTCTTTTTATATTTTAACACATGTGAGATGACCAGTGCACCTAGTCATCTCACATGTGTTATATCGCACCACATCACATGGGGACCTATTACTATACAATGTGGTGCAATGCGATTTAAAAAAGAAAAAGGTGCTTGCACTTCTTTAAATGTGTTTTAGATGCAGCAGGCAGCCCATTCAAACGGACTGCCCTAGCTCTGCATCAATGTTCTTTGTCCCTCTCCACACACCATTATATCCACTACTATACAGGTGTGCTAAGGAATATTGCAGGAGATCTCGTATAAACTGACGCATGGTATGCTTATTGCTAAAGAGGGTTTATTTTCCATTCCCAGCGTGTCTCATTGATCCTATTTAATCATTTGTTCTGATTCTTTTTTTTTTTTTCTTTATCCTGATTGTTTACCCTCTTGTTTTTTTTTTTAACCCATTTTGCTACCCGGTTTGCTGCTGAATTTTCCTCAGATATTGAAGAAAAGTCTGTTAAGCCGTCGCAGGCAGGAGGGAGGGAGCGCAGTGCTGATATTCTCAGGGACCTGAGGGGTCTTTTTGTCCCTCCCTGGGAGCTTTCCTCCCCGGCTGAAGGTAACACAGCTTAGTGAGTGCTGTCTGCTTGCTTCAGTGCATCCTTCCTTTTATACTCTAGGCTGGAGTCTGTCTGTGATCCCCTCCACTCTTCTCTCTGTACTAAGAAGCAGCGATTCTGTTTTGCTTTGGTTATAACTCAGGGGCATCTGAACTGAGCTCCCGTAGTATTGATATGACTTCTATAATTGCTAAACACCTCTAGGGTGTTCTCTCTGTACTGTTTTTCTGGTTTATATGAAGCAGAGAGCTGCACGGAGTTGAAGAGTTCATGTTTGATCTCCACCGCTGCTTTAATGTCAAGCTAGAATCGCCTGTTGATCTGGAATACAGCATGTAGTGGGCTGTATGTGATCAGCTGGAACTGTCTTTAGTAGTTTTAGTTTAAGCTAAAGTGCTTCTGAGTAGCTGAAGCCTTTGATAACTAATCTCCCTATAACTCTAATCCATCTTCTAAGTGTACATGTTCCATGTGTATTCCTTCTTTGTCAATTCATGATTTTTTCACAAGTACTATATTCTGCTGCTCTCTCTCAGGTTTTGGTCCGATGTGATGCCTGTTGGCTCCTAATAAGCTTTCTGTGGGGAGATCCATAAAAAAGTTGGCTTGTTCATCTGCAGCTGATGAGTGTAGTTCAAGAAAATGGCAGGCTGACCGAAAGTGACACTATGCAAGAAGTTTTAAAAAAAAAACGCTTTAACTAGTTTTAAACTTACCTCGTTATCGCTGCTCGCTCCCACGCCGAAAATCAGGAAGTGATCGTACGGCCGCAAAGGATCTTGGGGCGGGCGCATGCGCAGTTCCGATTCTCGGCCGGGAGACGAGCAGAGACGCAAGGTAAGTCTATGGACGCATGGAGACACCGCTGGATCGGAGGGACAGAGCAGTCAGCGCTGGATCGGAGAGCCGCCGCACCGCTGGAGAGACACATGAAAACATGGGGAAAGAAGAAGAAGATCAGAATAAGAGACATCATTTAAGGTAAGTGCTAACATTTACATGGGGGGGAGGGGGAAACATTTTTACTTGAATGTCACTTTAAACCTTAAAAATGCGTTCAAGCACCCCAACTATTAACAAAAATGTATCTTATTTGTGTATCATTCGGCTGTAGATCCTCAAATCATCTCTGAACTGGTGCTGACACTGTCCTTCCTTCTGGGGGGTGACTACTTTTGTTCCCCATGGTCCCTGTGTGTGTTGTAAAGCGGTGCTGTAAGCTCACTCCTGTAATGGACTACAATCTCAATACAAATTAGTAAATTAAGAATGAGATTGTAGTCTATCACAGGAGCGAGCTCGGAGCGATGGCTACTTTACAACGCACACAGGGACCATGGGGAACAAAAGTAGCCACCCTCCAGAAGGAAGGACAGTGTCAGCATCAATTCAGAGATGATTTGAGGATCTACAGCCGAGTGATACACAAATAAGATAAGTTTTTGTCAATAGTTAAAGGAGAAATATGAGGTGTGATTTTCACTCAACCTCATAGTTCGAGCCGACGTGTGACAATTAAACTATCACACGTCGGCTCAATAGATCGGGAAATGAGCGAACACATACCGTCGCTCACTTCTCGATCATGTACCTGCAGAGAGCCGTGACTGTCACTCAAGGCTCCCTGCACGGATTCCCCCTTCCCGCTCCGATCCTCCAGCACTGACTGGCGGAACAGACGGGGAGGGGGCGGGTACAGCTGGCTCTGCCTCTAGATAGGCAGAGCCAGCTGTCAATCACGCAGCTGGGTGGATCTCGACAGTAATGTCGGGATCCGTCCCGGCTGCGGGGGTCTCAGTTTACCACGAGCTGTAGCTCGCGGTATACTGAGCTTTGGGTCACGGGAGGAAGCTAGTTTGTGTCCTCCAGTGACCCTTAAGAGAACTATGGGGCAAAACACTTACCCAATAGTTCTCCTTTAGGGTACTTAAATGCACTTTAAGATTTAAAGAGGAACCCATGTCTTCAAAATAACAACAAACACACTTTTAGAAATGTTTAGTAATGACAATCTACAAACAGATACTGCTACACAATTGCCGGCTTATTTTTTGCATACTTTATTTTTCTTGTCTTCTCACAGTGGCCATGTTAACGAAGGGCATGTTACTAGATCTCCCCTTCCTGGAACTCTGGCACATGTGACTAGGACATGTGACCATGCACATCATCTCAGGGGAGAAAATGCCTTTCCCTGAGGTCTCATGAGATTTCCCAGCAATGCTCTGCTGATGTCATCTTTCCCAGGATGCAGTGCTTGGGCACTTGGATCATTTGTGCCAAAGTGGGAAAAAAATATGTTTGTTTAACGAATGAACAGATAATAATATAACAACATGCAGAGTTGTATGCTGATGTGATTTTTAGTTAAGGGGGTAAAGGTTCACTTTAACTCCTGAGTTTAGTGTCACTTGACATAGGCTTTCCATGTTTTAGGGTTGAGCACAGTTGCTATAAAGTAGGTTCTCTTACGGTGGCTCTTGAAGCATGGTACATATGTATATATTGATGTGCTCCAAGAAGTGAGGGAAAGGGCAAAACGGTTTTCTGGTAATATTATCCACCACATATAGTATGCATTGGGCTTTGGTCACATAAGGATTCTAGTTGATTTTGCTTTCTTACCCTTTACTGGCTGGTTTTTAGTTCAGGTGAAGGGAGATCTCACAGTGACGGGAGGAGAGGTCTGTGACTAGTATCAGACATCACTGCAGATGCCATTTGTACAAAGCAGCGCTGCAGGCATAGGATACGAAGCGTTACAGGTAACTGACTTGCATTGTGCTGCTGCTGTAGAAACAAAATGTTTTTCTCTTGGAGTTCCGCTTAAAGCTGCTAAATGTTCAACTTGCTGAAACATTTGCAGCACCGGGGATATCTGCAGCACACTTAGACAAGCTTGTTCAAGGGACACAAGTGTGCGTTCTTATGTGCACATCTGGTAAAAACAAAATCCCTTTTGGATTGCTTGTGATAGCTGACTTCTATTTAATGGTTGTGGTCTGAGGCACAGAGTCGGCTGATAAATTGGTCACAGGTAAGATGCTGCAAACAGAAATATGTCAATATATCATCCAATTTCTCACTTCAACCCCTTCATGACTGAGCTTTTTTTTCCCCCCCCCCCAGTTTCTGTTCATTAACCCCTTCATGACTGAGGCCCTTTTTTCATTTTTTGCACCCATGTTATATTCCACATTTTAGGCCTGAAAATGACTTAAAACCCCCCAACATTATATATTTTCTGAATGCCAAGACCCTATAGAATAAAATGGTGGTAGTTGCAAATTTTTATGTTGCGCAATATTAGCGCAACTCCTTATTAAACCCCAACATTTAGTGAAAAATTTAATGCCCCAAAACACAACAAAATAACAATTTTTTTAAATGACATAAAAGATGAGGTTACAACGAGTAAAACGATACCCAACATGCATAGGTTACAAATTGCGTGCGTCTGTGAAACGGCGAAAAACTGCAGTACCCCAAAAAGTCAATAGAAGACGCTTTAAAAGCCCCCACAGGTCATCAATTTAGAGATATCCCGTAGGAGGGGCAACGGAGCCCGGGAAGCACAGCGGGGGTGTCCGGCGGGGGGGCGGCCCCTTCTACGGGACACAGAAGCGATCTGGCGACAGGTAAGTCGCCAGGATCGCTTCTGTTGTAAAGCCGACAGTCGGCTCTACAAGTTTAAACAGAGTCCCGGCGGCAAAAGTCGCCGGGAGTCTGTTTAAACAGCCCCGATGCTGGCGACGTACACTGTACGTCGTCAGTCACGAAGGGGTTAATGAGTGACGCACTTTTTACATTTTTGCTGTGTGATTCTTCCTCGGCAATAATATACTTTGCACCCACACATATTATATATTGTTTTTTAGAGGACAGATAGGGCTATATATTTATATTACATATGTGTGCCTAACACGTCACAGTATGAATAACATATAAAATAAAGAAAACACTTTTTCCCCAGTTTTAATTTGTACTATTTATAAAAATAGCACAGCTTAAAAAAATGCATTAAAATAAATTTGTTTATTTGTCTTTAATTTGGAAACACCTCGCATCCCTAGGGGGTCTAAAACTAAAAGCTAAAAAAAAATGTTTTTTTCTAAAAGCAATTAGTGGTTAGATGGACTACAATGTCACTGTCATTACGTGTCACTATCTGTCACACTTAGGGACAGTGACATACTTTGAACAAAGCTGTCCTGAGGGGGTTATATGTTTTAAAAAATAACCCCTTCGAGTGAAAAACAAATCTGCAGCTCAGCTGCAGATTTGTATTGTAAGAGGTAAATTTTTATAATTATAGTATAATTAAAAATAATATATTTGTATTTTATTTTTTTTACACTTTTTTTGTCAATTATATCTACCAGTCATTATGACCTATTTGTTTAAATTTTTCGTTATTATTAGACCCCATTCACACTGAGCGACATGGATATTGCGCATTTTTCCGCGACATCGTGCTGAGCGGCTAGAGCTACATTGCGCGATACTGAGCGACAGTGCACATTTTATCGCGCTACGTATCACGTTTTTTTGGGCGGGACTTTGTCTCTGCTACATTGGACTGTAACCAATCAACAGCGATCTTAATGTGACATCATTCTTTCCTTCCATTTTGCAGTGCAAAAGTAACCCTTCTGTAGCGCGATATCGCTCGACAAAGTCGTGCAATATCGCCGGTAATGCGCGATCTTGCGCAACACCATAGAGTCTATTGGAGCCGAATTGCGCGGCATCCGCAGAAAAAAGGGTCATGTACGAGCGACAAGCTTGAGCTACAGGTGACATTGAGCTGTGAGATGTGAACAGCTCCATTGAAATGCATTGGACAAGCTACATAGAGCGATATCACGCGGAAATATGCGCCATTTTGCGGCAGAAATTGCGCGATAAACCACTCAGTGTGAACGGGGCCTTAGGCTGCTCCAAATTTAGGAACAGCCAAACCCTACTGATACTGATCCTGACAGCATTTCAGGATCAG